CATTCTGCAAATTAAATTCTGCTGTCTGCGTTTGAGGTGCTTAACCCCAGGATACTGCGTGATTTGCAGTGCTGCCTCTGCAGGGGGAAGGGGGAAACTCATCCCAATTTAACCTGTGGTTCTGCTTTCCAGGTGGCAAGCTCTGGGAGGAAGTGCTCACCTGAATGAGGAGGAACCACCTGAGTCATCACTCAGGCTTTCCTTCTTTTCCAGAAACCATACATCCTCTTCTCATGGTAGAATTACAGCTCTCTGACTCCTCTAAAACTGACCCAGAGCCTCCCCTTTTTTATTGCTGGCAGGAGTCTGGTTCCCCTATGTCTCTGTAGAGGCTTTCCTTGTGTTTCACCTGCCCCTGACACAGTTGTGTTGGTGGCTCTGGTGACACTTTCCTCACTGTGTGAATACAGATCTCTCCTCATCCTTGGTGCAACACCCAGTTTCTACCAGTGAGGAGTCACTTGGTGGATTTAGGAGGAAATGTCCTGGCTGGGTGATAGCTACTAGGCCTCCAGCAGGAGGAAGAAGATATTTCCCCTGCCAGTGGAGAACTTCTGTGGATGGCAAGACAGCAATGCAGCAATGCTTATTTTAACGTGAGAAGGTGAGGAACCTGTCCGCTGCTAGAGGTAGGTCCTGGTCCTGATTTCCAAAGGAAACCAGGCATCACAGAGTAAGGACAAGATGTGGTGTGAGGGGCTGCCCTGGATCTAGTTCAGTTGTGGTTTTACCCCTGAGGGGATTTTCAAGGAGAGAGCTGTCGTTGGTGTATGGCTGTTGGGCACCCAGAGCTGCATTAACCCAGAGAGATCTTTGACCTACCACTAGTGTAGGTCATGAAAGGTCATCCTGGACTGAGTACATCTGATATTCAGGCTCAACAAGGCTCAGTAAGACTCAGATTTGTACTCAGGACAGATCCCAATCACAGACTTTGAACTGAGGCCCTTGTCCCCTGCCAGAATCTGGAAGGGGGAGGTGGAAAGGTTGCAGTGCCCTTGGCATCTGCATAAGAGAAGCATTCACCTGGTGATTTATACTGATTTATTGGTGATTTATACTGATGTCTGCTCTGTCCTCAGGGGCTGTGGTGAACTTGGACAGGCTGCAAAAGGGAGAGATGAAATGCCTCACTGAAAAGGAACAGCAGGAGCTGGGAGCAACCAGGAGAGGTCTCTGGAGGGAGCAGGGCAGGCACAGCTGAGCTGCCTTTCCCAAAGCCTGCTTAGCACAGGCCAAGGCCCTCATTTGCCATTGACTGGAGGGATGTTTTACATGTGCCCCTTCTGGTTCAGAGAGATATGAAATCTGCCTGTAATTAAGTTAATTTGGAGTTGAACATGGGCAAAGATAATGAGCTGGAAATAACAAAAGAAGAAAGATGGGAAGGTGTTGCTAAGGAACAAGTCTTTTGCATTAAATCCTCTCCCCTCCCCAATCAAATAAACCATTTTTAGGATCTGGATGGCTGAGTGATGGGGCAAACAGAGCACAGACATGGAAATTACTGCTAGATCAAGAGTTCAGAATAATAAAGGAGGTAAGAGGAGGGGTGTGACTTGGAGAATAGAGAAAGGCAAAAAGGGTGACAGCTGTGGCCAGTACAATTCTGTGGCAGAGCTTTGGGCTCAGCAGTGTGGTGTCCTGTGCCTGACTCACCCCTCCTTTGAGGGAACCCCCCAGTGCCCTGAGCCTCCAAGTGCTCTGAGATAGGGACATAAGGACTGGCCACCACCACATCTTTCACATCAAAGATCAGTAAACAGCCCCTCTCAAAGCATAAGGCTTTTAACTTCTCCAGTGCTTGACCCTGGTGAGAATTCTCACTGGAGTCAAGCACCTGGGTGAAGGCTTAAGATTGCTTCTCCTTGGCTTTTAGAAATGGTGTAAGAAAGAATATGTTCAAGCCAAAAGGAGAATGGAAGAGAGGTCTGCAGAAAGGACCAGAATATTTAACAGCCAGCAGAGCATAAGTAAATAGACAAGTTATTATCAATGAGTTTGTTTGAATTTGACAGAGCTTTCCTGCAAACATGGGGGAGGGAAGGGGGGCTGTGAAGAATTCCCTGCCAGTGTGAGCTGTAATAAAGGACCTGCTGTTTTCTGATTCTCACTCTCTGTGAAAATTGAAAAGGTTAGCCAGGTAATTGAAATCGGGACTGGAATACAAATAACAGTGTGAAAACCCCACAGCTGGCAAATAAAGTTGCAGAGAAAAGACTCAATTCTCAGTGGAATTTCTCAGCAGCAAAAAGACTGGATGGATGGGGGGAAAGATGATTTTCAATATACCTGCTCCTCCTGGGAGGGAAGATAGGGAATGAAATGAGACCGGAAGGAACCAGGCTGAGACTAACACTTACATGAGTGTTCCTTGCTGTTGATGCAAGAGACACACGAAAACTGGGCTGTGCTGAGGCTGAATCATGTCTGGCAGTCCTTGTGCCTCTTGGAGGAGTGCAGTGGTTTGCTGGGATTTGCTAGGCTGCCATGTGAGCCCCAGCTTTGGGACTATTCAGTGTTATAAGCACAGAGAGCCAGCTCCACATGACTCAGCCCTTCGTCCTGGGACTGGGATACATAACCAAAGCAGATATATCTGGGCCAGTGTCAGCTGCTGTTCATCCTTGAGCACAAACTGGTTTGCATCATTTTAAGCTAAGAGCATGCTGCCTGTGTCTCAGTTCCAGTGAAGGGGCCTGCCAGTGCCACAGAAATGGAAATTTATACCTGCTGCTCTTTCTGTGGTTTGTTTTTCTGCAGGAGCAGGTAACCTGAGCTGGGAGGAAATGCTGCTGCAGTGCTTAGGGGAAGCTGAGTTCTGTGGTGCTAACCAGGTTTGTTCACACCCAAAAAACTCCTCTTCATGAAGGATTTCTCTAACACCAAGCCAGTTAACAAACCCAGTCTGTAAATGGTTAAATAAACATGGTTAAATATACCTCCATGTTCATGTGTTAGTGCTCTGTTTCCTTCCTCACAGACAGTCTGGTAGGGTTTTCTATTTCCCAAAACTGTGACTCTTAAACTGTGACTCTTGTGCTTTTTTTGCTGCAGTTGTTCTGTGCTGCCCAATCCACCTGCACTGCAGTCAACAGCAGCATGAAAAAACTTCTTTTTGGAGACTTTCCATTGAGTTCAGGCAGCTGTTTAGCACATTCTCTGGCAGGGCAGATCTCTTTCCTGCCCTTGTCATCTACAGAAGCAAAGCAAACTGGGAAGTTGCAAACAAATGCTGGAAATTCTACACGTGCTAGAGCTTTGTTGGGATTTCTCTGCCTTTTGAGTGTAGCCCACGTGTCCCAGAGGCACCAGCCCCAGATCAGTGAGCAAAGTGGTAGGTGAGCCCCTGAGGATGCTGTTCTCCTGCTGTTTAGTGGTGATTTAGCTGTGAGCCATTTGCTTTGCTCATTTGGAGCATGATTTTCCTAGTGAGTCATTTCCAAGGGAGTCTCTTGGGTTCTGCAGAAGTGAAAGAAATGGAGAGGGTCTGATAAACATACCTGTTCTGCAGCAAAGAGCACACAGCACTCCAAGGTGACTTGTGCCTTGTTGCCTGGCTGTGTTTTTCAGCTGCAGAAGGTGTGCATAACAACTACCTGTAAAACACCTAAAGTAGGTGACTGAAATAGGTCAGATAAATTGATTTTAGCACAGCATTTTTTCCCTTCATTTGATTAGAAGAAAGAATACAGTTTTCCTCTGATGGAGATCATGTTGTAGACATCTGAGTCAAAGAGTCTTCTGCAAAACCCACCTCTACCCAAAAAATCAACCAAAAGCCTGTTCCTCTGGGAAGGAATTTGCTGCATTTCATAAAATAGTATAAGCTGAGGATGAAAGAAAAAATATTTGGGCTTTTCCAATAAGAACCCCAGTATTTTATTCATGAATTAGCAATCCTAGTGGGAAGCAAATTATTCCAACAATTACACCTAAAATTAATCCTACTTTAAAAATTAAGTGGATTTAGGGTAGTTTGCCTTTAAAACATCTGCTAGAGCTTCTTGGAGCTTCACAAAGTCTAGACACAAAGTAAGAGAAAGTCTTCTTCTGCTGGTAGCAAATGAGCTTAGCTCTGTCTGGGTATGACCAGGGCAGGCTGTTGACTACCCAGAATGTAAATGGAAAGAAATGTGGAAGAAAGTCAACAACCCTTGACTCTCCTGGAGAGGTTCTTACATTATAGTCAGTTTTGTACATGTTAAATTCCTTTTTCAGAGTCAGGGAATTGAGCACAAGATGTTCACTGTCCTTTGGTGCATGATGACCTTCCGTGACAACCTCAAAAGTGTGTTTTTACCAGGTGAGGAAACCTGCAGGGCCCAGAGTGGGCAATTTTCTGTGGTTTCTTTGGAAGTTCTTTTAACCCTCAGCTCACTCTGAAGAATATTTGCCATCATTGCATTGACTTGGACCAAATTCTAAACTCAAATTTTAACCCTTGCAAGAGCTTGTTTGATTTCTTGTTCATTCTGCTTTCATTAACATATTCCTCCTTACATTCATATCCATTTGATATGGAAATGCCACAACTCAACAATTTGCTAGTTTGTAGCAGAAGAAACTTCGATGGGGAAAATACCAGCAAGTGCCACAATGAAAGCAGAGAAAATGAGACAAATGTGGGAAAACAGAGAGGGAGAGCAGACCTGGCTGTTCCACAGGCTGGGAAGGAGCAGTTTTTGCTTTGGGACCCTCTCCTGCCTATGACAAATGTGCTGCCCAGTTTTTAACCTCCTCCCCTGCAGGAGCAGTTGTACAGAGTTCTTGGATGCCACAAGGCTCATGGGGATTAGTGCTGGCTTTGTGCAAATATACCAGCTGAAATATGGGGTTTTTTTAAAAGTACTGTGACTTGTAATGAGCCCTTGGTGTCCTGCACTTGGTGCTGGCTGAACATTTGGGGAATGTCCATCTGCTGCTCATGTGAAATCAGAGGGACAAACAAGAAGCATGAGGATTTCTGGAGCATGGACCAGTCTGAGGAAGACTTTGGCACATTTATTTTAATGTTACATACAGATACAGATAACCATCTCTGCAGCAGAAATGTACATTTAGTTTTACTGATAAGCTGTGGTTTAAACACTTCAAAACACAGTGATGTTCAAAAACTCTTCTTATAAACTTAACAGAACTGTCCACCTGCTGTTCATGGCGTTTTTTCCAACTGAACCTGGCATGAGATCTGAGCATCACTCACTGGCAATGAACACAGTTCTGCTCCCCTTGAGTGCTTCCTTGGAGCACGTTTCAGACTCTCCACGTTTTGTTCACAGTGCTGGAGCACTGCCCCTGCTCTCCACACTTTCTGCTCACACATTTCTCAGAGGGAAACAGAAGCAGAGAAATAAATCAATAGACAGTTCTGTCTCCAAAGTCACGCTTGATTTCAAATAAATACAGTTTTATCACACTGGCCCACTTCAGGGGGAAAGAGAGTTGCTCTCCATTTTTGTGCAACAGGAGTTTTTTCTCAGCCAGTTGCCAACATTTTTCTGCACTTGGCTATGAAAGCTCCTTAATGCATAAATAAAGGAATAGTATCAGCTTTCATGACATCTCTATCCATCTTCCTGTTTTTTTCATCTTTGAATCCAGCTTTCAAAATGCAGGAGGTAAATATCAGAGCAGTGTGATAAATAACTCAAGCACTGACCTTTTGGGAAGAAAAGCCTCCAGTGGACATCGACTACGTTTAGGGACAAAGTGCATCAACTATTTTCTAGAGATCCTCCCTCAGGAGTGAAGGGGTACTGAGCTGTGCAGTCACAGGGAACTTAATTTGGAGTCTCCAGTTAGTCTGCATTTCTTCACTGCAGTTATTTTATTTTTAGCAGAATTCAGAGGAGTTTTGTCATGTCTCTCCCAATAACACTTTCACAGAAGGTTTGGTTTGGTGCAAGACTAAATGTTTTCAGCTTTGATTTTGATATTTGGCCAAAAAAGCTCAGTAGGCATTGCTTATGCATATCACTACTTTTGACTGACAACAAATTAAATGGGATAAAAACTGATCTTGGGACAAGAAAATAAATTAATTCAGAACCAGGTGGTTTCATGATGATTTTGTTCTCACTACTTCTCTTCTAAAATTTTTCCATCCATGCACATTTCTCCCACCTCTGCTTCCCCTTCCTCACAAAACCCTTTTGTCTTCCTTTGGGATAAAAGTATGGCCACTTTGTTTGAGATCACATGAAATCTTTGTCCTCCAGCTTGCCCAAACTCTGTCTGCAGGTCTGTGTGCTCATCTGCAACTCAAGGGATTCATCTGGCAGCCCCGGACTTTGCAGCTGGAGGTTGGGATTCTCCCATGAGGAGAGGAGAGGAGAGGAGAGAGCAGCATCTCTTGTGGATGGCTCTCTCTCACTCCTGGGTGGCTCTGTGCACCCACACAAGATGCTGTCTCGCCCTAAATGCATAACAAGCATTGAAAGAGCCACAAAACCTGGCAGAGGAATGTCTCCACCCCATGCTGGCTGTGTGACTGTGTTGAATGCACCGTGTCCTCACCCCTTAGGCCGGTGTCTAGGACAGCTTCCACACACCTGGGACAGGGGGCAAAACCCTCAGGGCTCAGTGAGGGATCTGCCCAAGAGAGGGAGGGAAGGTGAGGGGGGAAATCCAGCACAGCCACTGCCCTGTGGTGTTCTGTGTGGTCCCTGGGTGGTTTGTGGGATCAGAGCTCGGAGCAAGGCACAGGCAGGAGAGCAGGGGCCTGGGCAGCCCACAGGCAGCAGGACACCACTGCCATGGCCTGTCCACAGGGAAAACACACTGAAATCTCTGGCAGAGGGAAAAATAATGCGAAATTTCTGCTTAGAGATGTAAATGCCACTGGTAAAACGCAAGTGTCCACTTGGGGGAGGTAAAGTATTTCAGCTGTGTCTCTAGGGAGCAGGAAGGGCCTTTTCTCTGCAGGCCTTGTGTGTGGTTCTTCCCCTCTGCAGGGCTTGGTTCTTAAGACTGCAGGTGGTAAAAAGGGTCTGAAAACATTCCCCTTGTGCTCCAGGAAAAGGGGACTCTCCAGCTGGCACGAGTCTCCCACCTCAGAGTGCCACAGTGAGAACCAAACAGAAAACTTTGGGGCAAAGAAAGAAAGAGACCGTGGTAACCAGGGGTAGAATTCCTTCCTCCTCGGTAGGAAATTCATCTGGATCCCCAGTGACCAGAATGGAAAATGTCTTTATGCACACAGTGCATCATCTTTCAGGAACTAATGTTCTTATTTGCTGTGATAACTCTGTGTTCTCTGGCTGTGTAAGTGGCTGCCAGTCCCCTGGTGACACTCATGGCATGATTCTCGGTGGCAGTGCGTGCCAAGCCTGAGCCCAGCACGGGGACTAAACCCAGCCCTGCCTCAGGATGCACACAGGAGGCATTTCCCCGAAGCACCATGAACAGGCTTTGAAGTGGGTGAGACAGAGCTTTATCACATAATGGATCCTCCTTGAACTCCCTTGGCAAAATTCTATAGAGTCCTGTCCCTGCAGTCAGCAGAGCCCAGGAATTTGTCAGCTTGGATATGAGTGTATTGCCTTCAGGATCTGTTTGCACTACTGGGATGCAGGAAAGTTTTTCAGACTTTTTTTTCTTTGTATTGTGCTTCGTGGCAAAAACTGAATTTAGTAGGTCAAATATCACTGCAAAACTCCCCTTTTTACTGCCCTTGAATTAGGTTTGTCCCAGTTCCATCTGTTGTGAGTGCTGCCCAGGCTCTTGGTGACTCCTAATCCATGTGGATCTCTGACTTCTGCAGCCCACCTGGTACAGGAGGAGTGAAGTCTGCTGAAACACAACCACAAGGCTTCACTAGTGGACACAACACATAAATATCTGAAGTTGAAGTAATGATAAGAAGCTCAGAAAGCAAAAGTTTGCTTTACATTTATTTTACAATTGTTGGCTCCCTGGTTCTTCTGGCCCAGAAATAGCTGCTGCTGGTAGCTGGTGTTTATCAGCCCAGCTCTGAGCTGCTCTCATTCTTGCCAGTTCGCTGATCTTGACAGGAGGGCTTTGCAACAGCCATTCCTGAAGAAGGTTGTAGCAGAGGGAAGTGGGGCAGGCTTACCCAAACCTGGAAGTGGGTAGAGAAGCTTATGCAGAAAGTTGTCCTGTTTCAAAGTAAGTAGAAGCTGATGTTTTGGTTGCTGCAAAAGAAGTTATTTGGTTCTAAGCTGATTCTCTCTCCTGTGCTGGGAGTGTCTCTCACCTTTTAAAGCAGCTCTTCTCTGGCACAGCTTTCAGTGAGCAACTCAGATTTCCAGTCCTCCCATTAGCCTGGGGGTAATACAGTGCTTTCCTAACAGACGAAATACAGTCTCCTTCATTCTTTCAATGGGACACCTCCTGAGCAATTCTTGCTGAAATCCGTCTTTTAGGAAGTTTTCTTCTGCTTTAGTCTTAAGGTAATTTTCTGAACCTTCTCTTTCACCTGGATCACCATGACAGAAAGTCACAGGCCAGTGGAGAGCTGAGAGCTGCTGACAGATGTCCTGTGTGTGCCAGGGAGACTCGTGTTTTCAGCAGAGTCCATGAGATTGTGATCCTCAATCACAAATGTGCTCTTCTGGGATGAAATCTTGCAAGTGGGATGTTTAGGGCCACAGTGCTTGCAGCAAGGAGAAATCACACTGAGGAAAGCCATCCTGAAGCGCTGGGACAACAGGTTGTAAATGATGGGGTTTGTGGCAGAGCTCAGGTAGAAGAAAACACCTGGCAGAACAAGGGTGGGGGCAGAGAGAGACGTTAATTTGTGTGTGAAACCAACTCAGAAGAGGAAAATCTATTTTTTGGCTATAGAGCTCCACCAAGCTTGGTGCAAGGGTGGAGACAGCAGCAGTGAAGCTCTGCTGCCTTCCTGGCACAGGCAGAGGGATGTCTCACAGAGGTTAGCTCAGCTTTCACTGCAGTGAAAGGGAAATGGGAGAGAATGTGAATTTGGGCTCAGTCTCTCCAGCTGTTCAGGAACCAGCTCTCTCTTGAGCTGCCCTGCCCTGCCTCCAGCACTGCCCTCATGTCCACAGCAGGATTTGCACAGCTGGTGCCCCATCAAAGCTGTCAGAGAATAACTTCCAGCCAGGGGAAGCTAATTTCCTACAACTCACCAGGACAAAGGCACAAGATTGGATTTGTCTGAGAGGCCTAATGGCCACATTCAGTGTTTTCCCATGGCAGATTGAAAATAAGATTCCTCTTTGAAAAGCCCTTCATTTTATGGTTGGCAAGGCCATAAACATTTGGTTTCATCACCAGTGCTGAACAGTATGTAAGGCTCTTCCATTAGTAAGGTTTCCTAATTGCCCCAGAGAGCCTGTGGAGGGTGCTGCCTGCTCCTGTGTACTTCTTAAAAGCAGCTGAATGACAGCAGTCCTTAGTTCTGAACATGCCCAAGAATTAAAAGCAGCTAGTAATGATGCTTGATATCCTTTTTTTTGTTTTTCTTTTATTCTTTGTGAATTCAACATGTCCAGATCTTGAAAGCTGCAGGAACCTGCTTGCTGTTTTTATTCAGACAGTGTTCTCATCACTGCTCACCGAACCTTAAGCAGTTTTTCCATGCATGTATCATGTCCCCTACAAAATAAATCACTACACATTCCAAGCAAAACCACTCATAAATACTCGTTTTTTGCCAGTCCATGTGCAAGTGGAAGAAGAAGGCTTTACCTGACACCACATGAATTAAGTTGAAGGTATTGGCCAAAGGCTCAGTCCATTCCACAACAAAGCTGAAGAAAAGCCGGTCTATATGGAATGGAGCCCAGCAGATGGCAAAAACTATCACGAGGACAACTGGTGTGGAGCAAGGGGAGAAGAAAAACAGGTCAGAAATGGGAGGATATGGTTCACCAGCCTGTACAGGGCAGGGAGATCATACAGCTGGATGGAAGATCTAATATGTAAATTATATTCATGGTTTCAAAACTTTTGCCATCCTTTCTGTCTTACCATTAGCAACTAAAAGAACAATCTTTCCACCAATTTCTGTATTGGATAACCCCATGTATGCACAGAGAGTGACATTCAAACAGAGCAGGAAACAGCCAGGCAATGTTGGGGTATATATGGAGGCCAAACCCATTCCAGGCTCAGAAAACCAGGCTGGTTCCAAAGTACAGCTTGGTGTAATGCAAAACAGATGTACATTCTGTAAAAATGTACAAAATGGACTATTTGCACTCTGAAAAAAGGGGATCCTCCCTGAAGGGCTGCAAGAACAAGTTTAGAGTGAAGGATGTTGGAGAATTGCCATGAAAGCATCTGCCATGAAGGTTTGCTCAACCTCCTCTTGTGCTGGGGAGGAAAATTTGCTTTCTGAGTCTTTTGGTAGTTACCCCTGATTCTTCACATCTGCAAGTCCAGATAAAGCAGCAATAAGCCTTTTTTTAAAAAAAATATGGCAGCTACTCATCTCATAACTCTTGTATCCAATGAACTTGCTCAATAGCCTTCAAGAATTGGTCACACTTCTGTTCATGGTAAATAAAACACAGAAGGACTCAATACTTACACAACATCTTGGTGACTGATTTCCTGGATGGCCTCTTAACATTCACAGACAAATCCTCCACTTCCAAAGATTCATCTCCTTTCAACTGGCAAAAGGAGGGAAAACAAAGAACAGCTTAGACAAGACTGTTTGATATTTTGGTAGTTGTAGTTTGAGAAAGAAACATTTGGGGCCACATGGGACTCACTGAAAAAAAATAATGACTCTGCATTTAAGTGTTGGGTTTTGTCTAGAAAAACATGGAAGCTTTAGGTTCAAAACAATCTGCATATTTTATGCATCTGAACCTGCATATTTACAAATTTGTGTTTCACTTCCTCACTTACCTGTTCTCAATGAGTCAATATTTGGTTCACAGTTTATGTTTCATTTCAAAAGCATTTTGCTAGGCATTATTTTCTCTTCCAGCAAAACATTGTCAGTTTGTTTATTTTCCTAAAAGTGTTCCCCACAATTAAGCACAAACCAATGATCCAAAAAATACCCAGAGAGGCCTCAGTACAGCATAGCTGTAACCATTGGAAAAATCCTGTAGAATTCAAGGGAGTTTATTTCATGTCCTGAGTGTTGGGAGTAGTTGATATTCAACCCATCTGATGAACAAACCCCAGAAATTTGCCTTGCAGATGGGCAGGGTGCATGGCACACACAGATTTAGCCACACACTGCTCAGGCACAACCAGGAGAGGTTTTTCTCCAGTACTTTTTCCTGGACTGAAAAAAAAAAAAGAGCATAAAGAGCAATAGTCTGATCATGGAATCCATCCCCAGTAGGTGCATGATAAGAAGACTGGTGCTTTGGTGATGAAAAGATCAGGTTTACAGAAACAGGACAATTGATTTGAATACCAAAGAAATCATAACTGGAGAGTCCACATTTGGTCCCAGCTTCCTGCAGTAGGAACTCCTGATTAGCCAACAGCTTTGTCTGTTTTCAGGTAGAGAAACTGGAACCAAAACTTAATTATACATGAAACAATATCAGGAAGGATGTAAAAAATAGAAGTCACTCTGGATTTGTAAAAACCTCGTGAAGACATGGTAGTTGTGCCATTTGCTTTTGCCTTTTGCACTGTGACTTTGCTTTCTGACTTCTGATTAATAATACTTTTCTGTAAGGATGATGAAATGAGCCCTTCTTTAAAGTTCTCTTTATTTTATTTATAAAAGAAAGAATCATGTAAATGGAATTATAGTCAATTATAGTGCAATTCAGCCTTTCATATTTTACATTATTCCCTTTGTAACTTTTAGTCACAGGCACAGTTCCTTAAGGAAAACACTCAGTTGATTTGTAACACATCTACTGATAAATGATCAGATTTATTAAAACCCCTGGATTCCCTTCAGTGGTTTTCAGTCTCAGCAGTAATCTATTCCAAACATATTCCAAAACCTCAGAGAGTACAGTGTGCTGATGCTGTAATAAACCAGAGACACATGTATCTTTATTTTTCCCCTTTCTCCTGTCATTTTGATGATGCTGTAAGGCTCCTCTTTAGCATCAAGTGATGAAGGTATAACAGGCAAGAGCAACTCAGCAGCTGCAGTTTAACAAAATAATGAAACATTAAGAACAGGGAGGGGATAAAAATAACTGAGTCCATGTCAAAGGTTATAACTTGAGTTAAATCATGCCAGTGGTCTGAGAGAGGTAGAACCCCAGACAAGGTATGGTTACTTTTACATCACTGCTGTGTAGGTTTGAGATGAATGCTACCCTTTCACTGCAAGAGAATTAAAAGTGACTGGAGCAAGAAGCTGAAAATTGGATTTTCCCCTCAGATCCTTATTAGCTACAGCATTTCACCCCAGAAGCCAAAAGGCTGAGTGAAATGAGGGTCTCACCTATGCCCAGACAAACATAGTGAGGCCCTCTGCAAAAGGGCTGTTTTCTGTAAACTCCTTTGCCTGTCTGACACTAGTGGTGATCAGAGTTTCTCTCCAGCTGATGGAAAAAGTGATATTTAAGCCCCACAAGGCTTCTGCTAAAGATCTGAGTCCTGCCTGTTTCAGAGGTTTGGCTGAAGCTGTTGCTGCTGAGCTGCAGCCTTGGTGTGCCCTTAGCTCACCCCCATGGCAAAGGAGAACCTTCCACTGGGACAAGGACTGCTGAACCACCTCCATGGAAAGGGGACAGACTCTGGAGGAGCTGTGCAGGGCTCTGCTGAAATAAAGACAGTCACCATCCACAGATGATTCTGGGCATTTAACAGCTGGGCATTTGGGGGGATAAATACATTTTGATGATAAAATCTGGACCAGATGTGCATTGACAGGAATAAGTTGTCTTGCTTCAGAGACAACTAAAGTAAAATTGCCACTATGTCAAAATAATAGTAGTAATAATAATAATAATAATAATAATAAATGGGCAGGCACCTTGCAGTGAATCCTGCTGCAATGCAGACTTCTTCCCAAGCAATCCCATCCCATCTCAGTCAGTGCCCCAGGGATGAGCTTCCATGCGCAGCTACTGCCCAATATTCTCATCTCATCCCTCTCCTCTCCCTCCTCTGCTCTTTGGCTGTGGGTTGCAGTCAGTAGCTCAACAGCTGAACTGGGTTTGAAGGGTCTGGATGATTTAGGGGTTTATCCTAAAGGTCTCTGATGGGAACCCCACGAAAGAGACAGCGGGAAGCTTCCACAATGGAGATTAATGAGTTCACAGTGCAATGATCAGTGTCCTCCTCTTTACGCTGGTGCTGGCACCATCAATTGACCATAACATTGCAATATTAAACCACCAAGCCTTAAAATTATACCCAAGTAGATAATGAGGTAATCAACCATTTCCCAGTGAAAAAGACAAATATATTTTTACATTTTTCAAGGAATTAATTTATAAATTAACTCAGGCACCCTATGACCCTTCCTTCTCACGGCTGCTTGGCAGGTCACCTGTCCCCCTCTGCATTGCATCCTCAGGCTGCCCAGCACTGTCAGAGCTTGAAGGAGAAACTGGTGAGGAAATGACCTTTCCACAGAGCCTGGGTATGAAAAGGTTACGTCTCTGTTTGCTGAATTTGAGCCGTTGTACGACCTTTGGATCAACCCTGAGCTTTTCCACGCCATTCTGTGAGTGATACACGGCACTCAGGAGACCGCAGGGTGTTGCTAAAGCCTCACAGATTTCCTCTTCTGTGAGTAGATAGAAAGTGTCTCCTCTTGGAAAATTATATATATACATCACTCTTCTGTCACTTTTGTTGAAGAAATGAAATCATCTTGCCCAGTTTAGTTTGGAGATATTGCAGATCTAACCAGGATGGATCCTGTTAAAATTTGGAAGTCTGAGGTGGATGTAGAGAAAAACAGGCACAAACAGTGAACATTACTCTCTTTAGGAAAGACAGCTTGAACAAATGTGGGAATTTGCAGAAGTCCTGGGGGATCAGCCCTCATCTGGTACTGAGCTTCTCTTCTGGGCTGGGGAATAAGAATATCTGCTCCTGCAAATAGAAATGATTGCAACCTTCAAGTTTTCCTTTTATAAATTCAAGGATTTCTCTTTTTCTTTTTGTAGTAACTAAATTTTCATCACCTTTCATCCCCTTCAGGTCTTATTTTGCAAAATATTAATTGAAACTACATCAAGACCCCTTAAGAACCTCCAGAGATTGGGGATAGTTTAACCCATTCACTGCCTCGAGGATCTGCTCTGTGCTGTGAATTTCTGGCAGAAAATCCATGTGTTTTTCATGGGTGAGTTAAAATTGCTTCTGTGTAATTTCAGGTAACAGTAAACATCAGCCAGTACAACAAAATGATATACACACAGCAGAGATTTGGTTCAGTTTCTTGCATATTATTTAATAAGTTCATTTGTCTTCCTTTCTTGCTATGGGATCAGACACATCTTTGTAAACTTTAAGTTACATTCAGTGTAATAAAATGGGATTTATATTGCCTAAATGTCTGTAACTTATGAGAAGAAAGCAGTCATCAAGTCACTGTGATTAGCAGTGCATTTCAGTGTTGTGCTACATAGTTTTATAACACTGTGATCCTGATTGTTTTGTCTACACATTTACATGATGGATACTTGTCAAAAGTAGTCTCAATTTCTGAAGAGAGAATGAATATAAGCTCTAAGGTAGCCTGGTGAAACAAGGCTGTAGTTATATAAAGAAATGATTGCTGAATTTTCTAGCTGCAGCAATAAGATTCCAGTTTATGAGCTTTGTGAGTTTTAACAAGTGAATATTACCACCAGCTCCAGGGAAGGAAAGGAAGAAAGTAATGCAATGGAAATTCTACAGTCACAAGAAAAGGGAAAACAAATGGTACACAAGACTCGATCACTAGCCATCTTCTTTTTATTCTTTTCACATTTTCCTTTTGGTCCATTTCTTTCTAGTCCCTACTGCAAAGGCGTAAATCTCTGAGAGGCTGGAATCAATCTACAGGCTTGGGTGTTTCATTAACATTCAGATGTGAGCAGCAGTGATGGTACATTTTTATAAAAAGACTGGGGTAAATTATTCCCCAATGTTAATTTCAGAACAGGATTGCACCTGTTGAAGAACTTGGATCTACTATTTTCAGAGCTTTGAGAAACACTTTTGCTGCTTTGGGGGGAAAACACGGGCAACAAAAAGGTGCAAAACTCACTCAAAAGCCACATATAGACACAAACACACGAGAATGAGCCAAGGAAACACTGAGCACACTTGGAGCAGGACTTACTCTTAGCCCCATCAGATAGTACAGCACACTTATCACCCCCATGGGCAGCACGTAGAAGAGCAGAGAGGTGATCTGGACGATGCAGTTGTAGATCCACAGGGGCACGACCACGGTGCAGGTGGCAGAGCCGGGCACCAGGGTGCCGTTGGGGAAGTGCTGCAGCACGATGCCGTGGGTGCCCGTGTTGGGCAGGGCGAAGAGCACGGAGAGCCCCCAGAGAGCCAGGATGGTCCTGAGGGCGCGGCGGCGGGTGCTGTCCAGCTTGGCGCGGAAGGGATGCAGGATGGCGATGTAGCGCTCCACGCTCAGCGCCGTCACACTCAGGATGGAGGCGAAGCACACCGTCTCGAAGAGCGCCGTCTTCAGGTAGCAGCCCACGGGCCCCAGCAGGAAGGGGTAGTTGCTCCACATCTCATAGACTTCCAGGGGCATCCCGAAAAGCAGCACCAGCAGGTCTGACACCGCCAGGCTGAACAGGTAATAGTTGGTGGGGGTCTTCATGCTGCGGTGCTTGAGGATGATGAGGCAAACCAAGAAGTTCCCCACCACCCCGACAACAAAGATCACAGAGTACACCAAAGCCATGGGCAGGAACAGGTGGCTCCGTCTGGGCCCACACAGGAAGGTTAAATAATCCTCAGTGCTGTTCAAGTACCCCCTGAGACGTCCCTCATACAGAGCAAGGTGGTTCAGCCAGGAGAAATTACTGACCCAGGCCATTGCTGGATCTGCTGAAATGTCTCACAGCTGAGGTTCGATGTCCTTTCTGTTTGTCTGTGCAAGTTTGCTCACTTTTTGCAGGGAGAGGAGGAGGGGTGTAGCTGCCTTGCCAGCCCTGGATGCACAGAGCCACTGAGGATGTGAATGAGTGTGTTTGCCAGGCTCTGGGTAAGGTTTTGCTGCTCAACAGCTGTTCCCCTGCACGGAGCCCCTCCGCCAGAAAGCCCCTCCTTTCCCACATATTCATTGGCTCGCTAAGTGCATTAGATTATAGAGTACAAAAAGAGGTTCCAGCCACTTGCATCAGTTCCCGTGGCTGGTGCATTTACAGAGTCACAAAAGTGGGATTTAGGGAGCTGAGAATCTGAAATATGGGATACAAAACCAGCTGCAGGTTATTTGTTTATGTCAGAGGGTGGAGAAGCTGACCAGAAACACCCCCAAAACTCAGTCCAAAAAGCTTTTACAAAATTATAATGGTGCTATGTCCAGTTATGAGCCACGAGCAAAACAAAACAAAACAAAACAAAACAAAACAGAAGATTCTGGCATGATTTTGGTTTTCAAATCTCAGCTGATTTTTATTTTCTGTTGTCTATGGCAGCCAGTACTTGGAGACAGAGTTTGATCAGTAGAAAGCCAAATGGTTTCTGTAGCCATTTCTGTGGAATTATAATGCTTCCACCTTTTTTTAAACACTGCAATTGTTTTCCTCCTGAGATCTGACTAAAGATTTTAATCACAATTCTTATTGACATCAAAATATTTTCTCACTTCCCAAATATGCTGGAATTTGATCCTGTATTCTTAGAGAGCCTTGTTTTGGGAATATTTCTGTACAGCATACTATTCCATATTTATTGTCTATGTGGGATAAACTTCTATAAACTCTTATTTCTTCATGAATGACAAGCATTCTGCAAACACACTTTCTGAGCCAAAAAATAAGTTTCTCCTGCAAGGATCATGAATGTGCCAAAATAGATCATTTAGCTCTGTATGAATGCTTGATTACTTCCTGAATTTCTGTAAAACAAAAAGGTTCCAAGTCCGTAGATACAATTTTCTGAGATTCAGAAAGTATTCAGCTGTTTGGAATTGAAGAGGTGCAAGGTCTGAGGGCTAATTCTGGGATTTTTGTCAGCTTGGTGTGTGATTTGTCTCCCCAGAACCTCTTTAGCTCTCACTTTTGAAGTCTCCTCCTTGAAGCTATGTAAACCTTTTACATCCCTGACATCCTTTGGCAAGGAGCTGCTTGAATCTGCTATTTGTGTGTGTATCTCTTTTCTCTGTTCGACCCTTTAGCTTGACCTCTCAAGAAAAAAAAATGATTGCTCCAATAAGCACAGACTGCCTCCAAAATAGCAGCAGTGCATGAGGAACCAAGGGTTGGTCCCTTGGAGGCACGTTCAAAGTGTGGAGCTGGGAATTACTGTGCAATCACTTAAAATATGAAAGGCATGGAAGGTACCACAGCAACCATACTAAAAGGCAGGAGCAAGTCTCTTGTGATGACTTTTAGACCTGCTGAAATTATCTCACACATAAACTGTCTCCATCAGATGGACCCAACTCATTTATTTCTAGCATTGCACAGAGGTATTTTGTTCAGCAGATCGAAAAGTTTTACTGGATTATTGAATAACAAACGTGCCCTTCTGACCCACTGCTCCCTTCATTAAGGATTCATCTTGTAGCTATTCCCTGCATTTTAACAATGTAGAATTTGATCTTGATCTGCTGCTGATGTAAGAGGTAGGAGCAGAGGAATCATTAGTTGGGTTCCTGGCTGACACCAGGATTAACTCTTTCAGAACACAGCAGAAGACAAGTATTTGAGAATTTGTGCAGGACCAAACATTTTCCATACCTCTGCTTCACTTTCAATTTTTTGTTTTGCTTTGCTATGTTATGTTTTATTTATATATTTTGATTTGTTTCTTTTTTCTCCTCCACATTATCTCATCATCTCTTCATATATAATTTCTTTCCATTTCTCCTTTTTCTTCACCTGGTAAATTCCATCCCTCCACTCCACACTGCAGATACCTGAGGTGAGTAAACCCTTCTGAAGTAGCTACCAAACTGGCTTCATTTTTCTTCTTGCCCATTAACCTTCGTAAAGAAACTGAAGTGGAAGATTGAGTCTGTTCAGCTTGAACCCAATCTTACAGAAAAGGAAACCAGCAAGGATTGAGTCATTAACTAAAAAGCCAAAAGGGCAGTAACACCCACTGTGATCTCTGTGAGAGGAAAGCAATGGGCTGTACAAACACATCAGGGAGTGTGGATGTGCCAGACCCACCTGTGCCTGCTTCCACTTGTTCTCAATCCTCTCTGGTCCTGCTGAGCTCGGATGCTGAAAACCCTTAAGAATAGAAGGAGAAGAAAACCAGCTAACCCACAGACCAATGTTGCTATGACCACGATTGTGTTGCAGATGGAGAGGACAAAGAGAGTGGAAAATATATTTCAGTTTATTTCTCAAAGCTTTATTTGTGTTCTATATCATATCTGTCCCAGTAAGGATAGAAGAATGTATTCAACCAAAGATTTGCTCTGGCTCCATATGAATGGAAATATATTATTTTTACAACCGAGACAGAAAATAAAAACAGATTTTCCTCATGAAAGTAATAATAAAGCATTTAGTATTTTTCATTATAAAGCAAACTTCATTGGTGCTTGCTTTTATACACTCGAAGGAAGAGGGTGTGCTGCATGCTGGCCTTGGAATCATGCAGCTTTATACAATGGCAGTGTAATGAATGTAATGTAATATTTCCATTAATGTGCTGTAATATTGGCAGCATTAACCCCGACAAGGCTTTTTTGGCACTGTGCTAGAGTCAGAGTGAGGCACTGACTTTGTCCTCATGCTGGTGATGTCTCCTGTACCACGTTTCCATTGTGGAATGTTTCCCATTTGCTGCAGCACCTCTCTGGATTGCACTGTGATCTACAAAGTGCACACTTAAGGAGGGCTGAATTCAAGCACCTTCATGTTTGTCAAAGCCCTTGTAAGGGCACCCATTAACTACTTTATATTATTACCTGGTGAGTAATTGGAAAATGGGAAAATTTGGCACATTAATCAAAAGAAGCAGAGGACAGTGGAAGTTATCCAGAGTATAGAAAATGGATGAATGCTCCACTGGCCCCACTGACAGAGGGGTGTACTTTGAACTATGAGCCATTATGATGGACTCTTATGAACATCTGTTTATCTCAGAATGGAGACTTGGGTTCATGCAAAACAAGCTAATTTTGGATATTTTTATCTATGTGGTGAGAAAAGGAGGTTTCTCATCCAGCATCACATGCTCTGGTTGTGAATCTGGAAGAAACAGAATTGTGTGAATGCCCTGGTGTGCCTCAGTGATCAATTCTGATGTCAATTCTGACATGTCCACTTGGCACCAGGGCTGGAGCTGGCATCTCTCAGCATACCTGCAGGGGATTTTGCTTAGAGTTTGCAGGAAAATGCTACACTTCCTACTGTGCACACACCCCTGCTTCACTGGAAGGGCTTGGAGATGTGCAGGGTTTGCCAGAATTCTTGGCAAGAAGGTCCAATATTTTTTATCTTCAGCAGGTGAAGCTTGACTTTGTTCTCATTTCTGATTTCCTTTTGCAGATTCTGTTGTTTCAGTGGTTTCTCTCCTGCAATTTGAGGATACTGAAGGCAAAAGCCTTGAGAGGTTCTGTTTGAGGGAGCTGCTCTCCAGCCTGAGCCTGAGTTCACTGCTCCTTTCATGGAGCTTTTCTGAGCTGCCTGTGGGGCCACACAAAGTTCTGAATTGCAGATTCAAACTCCCTGCTTTAATTCTTGGTGAACTTGGCAGTACCAAGTGTTTCTGCCCCAGAGGAATGCAAAGAAGAGGATGCAAATAAGAGGGTGCAGAGCTGGAAAGCAGAAATGTTAAGCTATACTACACTGAAGACATTAACACAATTTCCTAGAAAAATATAGCCCCATTCCCCTTATAAATTCCTGAGCTATAATTATAGATCTGACTTGTTTTTTTTTCTCCTTTGAAAGGCTTGTTTGAAATGTTCCGTACAGCAGCTGGAATGTGAATCCTTGTTTTCCTAAGTACCTTCAGTATAAAATTCAACACACCACCAAGCACACAGGTACGTTCTGTGCATTTTCTCTTCCTCCAGGCTGGAGGATGGACCTTCACCGTAACAAAAACTGGATCTGCAGGAGCAGTTCCATGTCCTGAAAGTCATTTTGCAATTACCTTGGCTCTTCACAGAGAGTTTTCATGGCTGTGCATGACATCTGAAGTCCCCAGGCTATCAATCAGATAATATCCACATAAGAAGTGGATTTCATGACTACAGTATAAAATATCAAGAAGGGCAGCTCTTTGCCTGGAGCAGCTGGCAACCTACACAGGCAATGCAGACACAGGCCACTTCAGGAGTGGAACACATTTTGATTAACTTTAGTCATTAAAACCAGCAAATGAGTCTTCACAGATTTTTCAGGTTCCTACTTTAGTCGATAATGGAAAGAGGAACCTCCAGCAGGAACTTCTCCTGAGCCACAGCACAAGGTGAGATACATGACGTGGAGTAACTTAATTTTTCTCATTGTCTGCGGAGGGGAAGTGGGTAATAACTTTAACAGCAGGCTTGTTAAACAGCTGAGATTAATTTAGACCTTAGTTTTGTACAGCCTTTTCCATTCTCTTTCCATCAGGCTTTAGAGGAAGATTTCATTTTTAAGATGATGCTTAGGACAGCTGAAAACAGGACCAGAGAGGCAGACAGCAGGTCCAGGGTGAGGAGAGTCCAGGGATAAAAGTCACTTCCTACTCCTCTCCTACCCAGTGGGGTGGTCCCCATTGACACATTTTCAACAACTTTGTTATTGACTCCAGAAATTACTGGGAATGATGTATTTTGTTTTTAGAAAGACTTTTGTGTGTTTTGTGTCTGTGTATGTCTGCAGAGACTTCATGCTTTGAAGAGGCAGGGGGTGACAGCCAGGGATGTGGTTCAGACTTGATATGCAGGGGAACAGCAAAAACAGCTGAAAAAGAACCCTAACACAGAAAATCTTGTGCTAGTGAATGTGTCCAGCATGTCAAAGGGACTTGGTTTATGTGGGGGAAGAGCAAAGGATGGTCATGGGAGAAAAAGTAGGAAGTGACA